TTCACTTTGACAGATCGAATTTAGTAGATTTTTTGACGCTCTTTAAGATACAACAGCTTTCACTGTCCAAACAATTGCATGTGTGATAGATATGAAGTTAGATACGAATCCTTACGTTTTAATTTATATTGGGTGTATCGATTAATTTTAAAGGATTTTTGTGTGAAAAGATACATTTATTTAAAAACAACTGTACAATATTTTTTAACTAATGTATTGCCCATCGTTGGCTATGACTTCCGCCCATCTTCTTGGTAGCTTGTCGATTCTGCGTCGAAAGAATTCCTCATCTTTTGAAGCTATCCATTCATCGATCCAATTTCGCGCTTTTTTATAATTTTGAATGTGTTCATCGAACAGGCTGATTTTCATCGATCGGAACAAGTGGTAATCAGAAGGAGCCAGGTCTGGAGAGTACGCGGGTTGATCAAGCTCATCCCGACCAGAGTCCCCTATCTTTTTTTTGCGATGTTTGAAATATGTCAAATTTTGATAAATCCTTCGACTATTTCTTGTCGCAGTTTTTTTCAATTTTTCTCTCAGTACTCCGCTCAAACGTATTGGTTGTAATCGATGCCGATCCCCCGTGACTGTTTCACCCTGTTTCAGCAGCTCATTATACACCAAACCACCTTATCCCCACCAAATAATGAGCATTACCGAGAAATCATCAAAATCCTGCTATGCTGTAGATTTTGATGATTGTGTGGGATTCAACCCTTATTTTTATGCCTGGGGTTATCGTAGCAGAGTTGTAGTAGTTCACTTCCAGTTATAATACGATACAAAAATTCCTTTCTTTCCTATTTTTGGAACATTGTGGCAAAATTTGAAAAAACGTCTTACAACTAGTTTTGGATTCAGCTGGTGTGGCACACAATTTCTTTGGTCTTACCTCATTATAAATGTCTTAAAACGATTGATTCGCTTATATTTAATGCTTCTGATGTTTCATTTTCATGCATCTTTATCGAATAAAAAATGCCAATAGCCCATCATTCAATTTTTTTTGGTGAGTTCACAGTTTTTCAACAAATTCACCACTTCTTTTTCACCAAATTCAACATTCTCTGTGGCGATTGAGAGGTCTCGTCTCCTGCAACATTTTATAACCTTTAGATGTATTTTCACTTTATTTAAAGTGAAAAAATTGAACCAAAGGAGGGCCAGACAGAAAAACACATTTTCATCACTCATTTTGAATCGATCAGAAAATAATGACACTGTGTCGAAAATAAATCTTTCTGCTCTGAATTAGATTGACAAATGTCATATGTATAAAATTCAATTGGATTCACCTGTCAAGCTACACACAATTTCAAGTTACGCCATCTCTTATCAATCCTTTAAAATTAATCGATACACCCAATTACTTCCAATAAATACATGTAAAGTTAAGATGCGGAAGAGTTTTGGCCTTTTTATTCAAGAAAGTGGCGAAAATATTATAATTTTTGTCATTTTTTTTTAATTTTTTCTTTGATGTCTCGTGACATCTCAGTTTATATTTTTTTCGCAAAAAACGCCTGATTCGTGATCAGGGGATCCCATAGCCAAGGTTATTACCCTCGCCGTTAAAATGTTTGAAAAATGCTACACCCTAAAATATACACAATTAAAAATTTTGAAAGCGTAGGACAACGGACACCACTATATTTTTTACGATGGGATTACAAAAGAAAAAAAAAAAACAATTTGATTTAAAGTGTGATACTATTTATTTATGCATAAATAAAAATGTAATAATCATCCATCAATCTTCAACCATAGTAATGCCAGAGAAGTATCGAAATGCTTGAAAATTTCCAGCTTTTTTCCCATCAATATAATGAAAAGAAATTAAACAATTTTGGCACATAAACGTTGGATCCAAAATATGAATATTGTTATTTTTGACAACAAACGTTGCCTCAATAATACCGCAAATCATGCACAATGTATTTTTCGAGCTGGAAACGCATCGCAATAGCGGATACTTGTTCGAATTTAGCGGGTCATCTGGTGCCAACAATCGAATATCAGTGAAACTTATAATGTGTTCACAGTTTACATAATGACGATATAATTGTGGAAAGCCAACGCGAATATTTAGATCTTCAAACTTTGTATTCTGCATGTCTTTTACTTGAATTGGTCCAAAATCTGACTGTCGTTTCATCCATTCATGAATTTCTGGCATTTGATCCGTATTTTTCGAACGATTGTCATTGTAAAATGTATCGGTGATGAAGAAAAATCCGAAGTCATCTTCTTTTCGCATTGGTTGTGGAGGTTGTTCTATTTCTGCCTTTTTGATACTTTCAAAATCATCGCTAATATCCTTGAATGGACCAAACTTGCAGTGACAATATATTTTATCTCGGAGCTCAGTCAAATAGTTTTTCTGGAAAAGTACATAAATTCAAATATTCAAAATTTAGAGAATTACAAACATATTCAACAGATCAATAACATATGGTGCATAAATCTAAGACTTATGCACCATATTTTAGACTATGAACTTTGTTATGATGTTAAATATCTCAAATGTTGTCTCTAGGGGAGAAATATTTTTTCTTCCGCATATTTATACATATTAATATAATATATTGTATTGTATTTATCATAAAATAACTCAATAACCCAAACTTTTTGAGCGAAAAATAATCAAAAGAAATAAAATGGACAAGAATTCTTCATGGAAAAGTAAATTTTAAGTGCTTACCCCCAATACCAAAAACTCTTGACTTAACCGCGGTTTTCGTTTAGTACCTTCAAACGGAAAAGAAAAATATTGAGAGAGTGATACCAAATTATGATTTTTTTTGTGTACCTTCTCCACGTTTATATAAAAATGGCTCATACAGACGGACAGTAATTAAGATCTCTTCTAATGGCACCAAATCACACAACACATTTGAATCATCTATGTTATGTTTAATATATCGATACCGATTGTATTTTCGTGGTACGTTTACATTCACTTTATTCAAATTATCTTCATTCCGATGGCGCACACACCTCAATCTCATCGCTTTTTTTGATATTTCAACGACTTTTTGCCCCGGCTTCGAATGAAGTTCATGAAGATGGACATCAACAATTGGTGTATCATCTGGTAGTTCCAAATGACTTAACGATATGGAATCCTCTAATATCTCTTCTTCAATGCCATCCGGAAGATCCCAAAGTATTTTTATTTCTTCGTATGTTTGTGGTAATTTGTCCACGCTATAAGGGCATAATTCTCTCTTGAAGTTGGAAAATTTCTCACCAATATTGATCAAATTACCGCTTTGTATTCGATAAACATTTTCCATGTTATAGCCACAAAGTTATAGTATTTTTTTTTTCGAAATTTCAACGTAAAAAGGATTATTTTATTTATATTATTATTACCTGTTTGTGTTTTCTGTTTCAATTAATTGTCAACTGTCAAATTGGGTGTTTCAACTTCAGATCATACTTAGTTATCATTGAACGCACTTTTAAAATGTCTTGTTTTAAATTAAACATTCACAACGGACTTTTCTGTCAATGTACTATTCTCATTCTTTCATATTGTCGTCGTTGTCGTATCAAACAGTTTTCATATTATGTACATTGATTGTTTTATCTATTCAATTATTTAAATGTAATTTTTCTATTGGCATTCAATGAAAGTTATTGTTTTCAACGTGGAAATATTGAGTTTATTCTAAGACAGAAGAATTTAATTTAGAAGAAAATTTGGAATATCATAACTATTGTAAGAAAATTTTAAGCAGTGAATTGAAGAGGCTGAATTGTGCAAAGTATGGATCAGTTTTCAACCCCACAAAAGACGCCGATTCGATCGGTATTGAAGGAAATTAATGCTAATGAGTTTGTTGTAAGTTTTAGATATTCATGAACACTTTTTAATTGTTTTGAATGAATTTCATTATGTTGTGTTAAGATTTTCAATCCGCAATTGAATGAAACGAAATTTTTCCATAACATTTTAATTATGCTTACAAACAAATCTTTTCATGTGTTCAAAACTTTTGACAAGTGCATCAAAACAAAACGATGAGGCGCATGACCGAAACTATTTTTTTACCATAATTTTTCTGTCGTTTACATATGTAATCCATGCTTTCATGTGATCGAAATTGAGTTTAAGATTGCACAGTGTACAACCATTACCAATGACAAATTCTTATTCACACACATAGATGAACATTGATATATACATAACAAAAGTTTCTATTTCCTTTTATTTTGTAAAAACAAACTTTTCATTTGACAGTAGTAATGGAAAAAACTGTGACATGACTCCATGAGAATTATGTTCAATTTTAAAGTGTGAACGTGAAGGATAAATATTAATTTGTCAAAAATTTTGTGTAATTTGTTTGATTACTCCGATTTTTTCTTGAACGTAAGTGAATATTAATCATCAAAGAATTTTTTAAATATACCAATATCAAATCGTCATAAAAATGACAATTTTTTTCATTGTTTCTGAATATTTTACAAACTCGATCGAAATGAACATGTGTGCCAGACAGATGTGAAAATATGGCAATGATGAAATTACTATATTTGAATAATATTCAAGTTATTTTGAAATGGAAAATAAATACATTAAATTGAATAGTTTATTATTAAAGGAAAAAGTCAGAATGAACATCAAATTTGCACATTGGAATATGATTTCACTTGAAGTTACCATTTGTATTTTAAATTTATGGGTTACAATAAATTCATCTTGAAAATTACATGAACATGAAATAAAATGAGAAACAAGGAACAATTTGTAATGCAAATTCACCAGGCAAAAATTCACGGTGAAATTTGGACCCGGATTTCAGTCATTTTCACAGTTGCCATAGCATAACATTCAGGTGTGAATACATGGAAAAGAGGAACGACAATCATTAGTATCAATTGAATTGTATATGGAATATTTTTTTTTATTAAAAACTTTACTCACCTACGGCCGTAGCCCGGGCTCCTTCCCTCCGTACAACCATTGTATTGTTCTTATGAACGCACAACAAGGCCACAAAATTTGTGTGACCCAAATGGTGTCAAGCCTAGCTACGCTCTTATCCAATAATTTATGGATTCAATGCTGCTGCTTGTCAGTCAACGAATCAGGCACCAGTACGCCAAACATCCGACAAAGTCCTGTGTAATTTGAAGCAGAAACATTAAAAAATGAATAGACTCTATTTTCAATTGCATTTTGCAGCATAAATATCTCGGTGCCAAACAACTGTCTGTGGATCAGCAACATCACCCTGAATATTTAATGGCCAATTTTTGTAGGTAACTTTAACTTTTGACATTAAACGCCCATTCCGAAGTATTCTCTCTACATCCTGATTGACATTGCGAATTCGACGCTCAATTTCCTTCCGTCTCTTTTGCACCAGTGGCAAGTGTTTGATAGAAAATGACGATTACCATCAATTTTTAGTCGATATGGTTTTTTATACTATCTGAAAATGTCATTTTTCAATAAATTCACATAATGACCTACCGAGCTCTTGAGGTACCATCTAGCGATGAGCTATCGGCATGAAACTTTACTCACCTTATTTGCACACCATATAGAAAAGTATTCCGGGGTGGGAGCGAAAAAATTTCAACTTTTGTGTTTTGGGAGCCAGTCTAATGCTTACATTCCTTTTCGTACTGACATGATTTCGGCGAACTCACTATTGCATTGATTGTTGTTGGCGTTTGCGTTGCCGGCAATGTTTGTGTTCAAATTTTTTTTTTGATATTTGTGTTGAATTCATCCAATTCCAGTTGCAACGAAATCCAAAAAGCAATGCTTTTAAACCAATTCTTCTTTATGAATTTACTGATGATTATGATCAATGTTCCACCAGCTATTGGCAGTGATCATTCCTCTAGCAATTTCCGATTCTCGCGCTTGGCTACGTCATCGATGCCCTTGATTACGGTTGTGTCTTTTCCATAAATTGTCCAATAGAGTGGATTTTTTTAATGTTCAACATTCCAGGTCGGTTTTATAATATTCGTGCCTAAAAACACCAAGCGGACCTTTATTTTGTTCAATTGGGTCAATTAGGCGAAAACAACAGTGGCGAATTATCATACAAAAATATGGCAAAATTGTTCCAGCGCCCACGGATTTTGGGGCCACCAAATTCCAAAAAAAAAAAATTTAAAAACAAATTTTGCACGCTTCGCTCGCACATTTCAAGAAAATTTTATTTAATAATGAAACATTATACTCGTACTATAATTATTTTTAAAAAAAATCGAGATTGGTTGATAAACGAGTTATTTATTTCAAGGAAAACTCATTACTCAAATCACAACTTTTCTGTTACGAACTCATCTATAATTTCATGGAATTTAAATTCGTTCAGAACTTCACTTTCAATAGAAAGAAGCGATAAACTGCTTAAACGATCATCACATATTTCGCAAATAATTTTTTATCAACTTCATTTTGGAAGCGAACGGCTCATCTAGAACATTGGTGACAAACATACACTAATACATGCGTAGTAGAATCAATATTTGGAAAAGTGGTGCAAAGATTGTCATTGTACATTATTTTTACATCAATTCATGATTTAAATTGTTGAAAGTGAAATAAGTTTTTACGAATTGACATTGAGTTGAGTTTCATTGAGATCTTTTGACAATTTTGCGACAATTTTCTTACAAGAGGCAGCAATCTCTTCCTCACAAAAAAATGGAATAGGGCCCACAAAAATTTATCGTTACAGGGCCCATCAAAGTCTTAATTCGCCACTGCGCTACAAATCCATTTGGTAAATTTTTGGTGACATTTGAATGTTTTCTAATTTCTAAAAAAAATTATGCAAAAAATAATAGTGGGGGGCTAATTTACATAATGAAAAATTTCACCACAGATTATATATTTCCAAAGATTATAGTATATCTACTTTTAAATTAAATAATTTATTAAAATTTTCATTTTAACCCACAATACATCAAGAAACAGCAAATATTCTGTTAACAAGTTTAATCGAAAATCAGCATTTTGTTTAATTTTTAGCTCTAGATTTGATATTTTAAATTTTTTTTAGTATGTATCAATAAAAACTAGAAAATATACTAACTACTTTTATCAGGAAATTTTCAAACTGAAAAAAAAACTAAAAACGTGTTAATTTTTACCTTACACATAAATAAATTTAAAAATATATACATAGAATACATCTGGCAAACATAAAAACGTGTAAAATTTTTAAATAAAGTATCACTACATTTATCACCCGCTATAGCGTATATACAGACAGTTACAATGTTTTAACTTTCAATAGCAATACAAAACTGCTGAATGAAATTTATTTTGGACAAATATTTTCACTCAAACGCTATGTGATCTAATGATGATCGCAGTGCGTTCGTGTGGTATCGTCATGGTTTTGAGCGAACGAAAACAGTCACTACGACGACGGCATTCTGATTCAGACTAGTCTGATACAGAGTGTTGAGCATCAAGCTCCGATGTGTAAATAGATCGTGCAAATAACAACGACTAGTAAAGCGTAGAAGGCATCGACGATTTCATTTGATTACAATTTAAACAACTAAAAGATATTGCTCTTGAATCTGAGCTGAGCAAAAAATTAAAAATAGAATTCACATGAAACAACAATAAAATTAGTGCCAATTGAAATTAGATCAGCATCATTTGCCTCATAGTTTTCTAGTTTTTACTTGTTGAAACTCTTCAAAGCATTAAACCGAACCGAAATGTAATTGTAATCGAGTTTCCAGTTATATTATTGCTATTTGTACACTAAATCAGTGGAGCAACTGCGAACAATTGTTCCTATAGTGAAAATGGATTTCATTCTATCGAAAATTATTAGCCGCTCGGTGAAAAGTGAACGAAATGATAACTGTGATACTTTATCAATAGGTTCATTGTCATATTCAAACGATAACGGGTTTCTTAGTAATTCACAACCGTCATTTGATATCGACATGGATACGGTAAATTTAAATGTTTGTTTTTCACATTAAAAAATTATCACAAAAAATGATTCAATCGGACACAATGATATTTAATTACAGTGCTCACTCGATATTCTTACGTAGTTTGTTCCTCGGCTTCTTAAGAATACTGAAAACTTAAAAATGTAGAGCTTCTAGAAAATAAAATTTTAGAAGTCAAAATAATACAAAACAATTTTTTTGTGCTTTTTAAGTACATATATATTTATACTAGCATCAATACGATGTTTTTTTGCACAAATATTAGAAGATAATTCTGAACAATATTGATTGCACAATGTTTATAATTGCAAACAGAGAATATTTCTTAAGTCAAAACTTAAGATATTAAATGTTACATTATGAGTCAAATTAACTTAAGATAATTGGACAATTAAGAATTTCGGAAGTTAAGAATACTGACCACTCTATGAATAGAAAACGAACACACTCGAATGATCTTTTTGTGTTCGCGCTTATCGAAAGATAATTTGGCATACATCGTTGGTTGATCGGCTGATACTATAAAAATGTTGTCAAAACATCAAAATTATCTGTGTCACTTAATTTTTATTTGCGATGGTGTATGTTTATTAATTAGTTCTCGGTGCAAAGCGACGCTGTGATCCTCAATGACATTGAATATTTATTTACAACCAAAACACTTTTTCGTTGAAATTTCCTTATTCTACCTTTTTCGAAGCCAAAGTCTTCATGAACCTAACGACTTCGAATGAATGTGTTGCATTGGTTTTACTAGATATACACTGCCGTTTGGATACGATTGAAAAATTCATTTTTTCCAATATTTTTGCAATATTTACTTCAAATATAATTTGGAAATTAAAGTTTTAAAAAATTGAAAGGTCAGAAAATAGAATCACGGAAGTTTCTCGGCCTATGATCAATGTTTAGTCGTTCTAAAAAACCTGACAAAATTCAAGTTTTTACTGGCCCATAGGTCTTAAAATCTAATAATGCAGTTTTTAAGCTTTTAAGAAGTAGATGTTATAAATGATTTAAAGCATCAAGATCAGTTGATAATTGGTCAAGCTATGGTAATTTGAGTTTGTTAGCCAAATGTCAACCGACCTTGATGTTTCAAACGTATTGGGAAAAAATGAATTTTTTAATCGTACTCAAACTTTTTGGCGGCAGTGTCTTTGTGAGTATAGTAAATGCATAGTACTTTTCTCACATTTCTGACTGATTATGGTTGTTTTGAAGAAATGACTTTTATTTATTGCATATATAAAATGTCGATGTTAATGTTTGTCGTTGTATTTGTGCATTATTTTAGATGCACATAACGTAGAGGATCAAAGAAAATTCAAAAAATATATTTTCCACAGTGATACTGTTTCTCTCAGGCGATTCATGCAGTTTCTAAAGAAAATCTCTTTATATCGTTTTCAGAGCAAATCATCTAGCGGAGCCACTCACGTTTCCGGCAAGAGTCCATTGGCTCTCGATTCGGATATTAGTGGGATTGATGGTACAAATACATTTTATGTTTTTAAAATAACAATTTTTTAAATATATTGTCTTACCAGTAAACATATCGAAGTGTTAAAAAAAGTTTTAAATTTCCTTAGTACAGATCGATATAAAATGGCAAAAAAATAAGTATGTGAAAATAGGGGGTGCCCATACCATGATGGGGGTCGGGGGTCAAAATAATATAAAAATGAACCCTTGCCCTCCGAATTGGGTCATTCAGGGCGACCAAAACTATATGCCAATGGAAACTACATTGATATGCGTAACTTTCATTAGAAGAAACCTAAATGCCCATTCGAGTCATAAGGGGTGAATATTCCATTGTGAAATCACAATGAAATGGGGTATTTTTAGTTTTCGACCCGAATTAAAGGTTCAAGTTAGAAGGAGTAAATTGTAGGTCAAGAGAGATTGACAAGGAATCCGAATATGTTATTAATTTTGGGGTTAGATTAGATATGGACCCGAATTCGGGGTATTTTTCAAAATTTTCGTGAATTTTGTATGGGGACCCCCCTTGGGGGTGATGGGAGGAGATGGGCAATGGCTTAAATGAAATGTGCGGATAAAATTAGCTATAGTTGGCCATACATTTGAGTGCAGGGGTCATAAAAAATTTCTCTCGTCATTCTGAACAACTTTGTAGTACATTATTTTTTGATCCGACCAAATTTTAACATGGTGGGGTGCTCCCCCGACCCCCCATCATGGTATGGGCACCCCCTATTTTCACATACTTATTTTTTCGCCACTTTATATCGATCTGTACTAAGGAAATTTAAAACTTTTTTTAACACTTCGATATGTTTACTGGTTAGTTGAAAAATGCGACAGAGACGGAACTAGTCATTCTCACCAAATTCAGGGCCAAAGAATTCATTTTGATTGTTTGGCATGACTTCATACAAACATTTTTTTGGTGTTTTCATTTTTTTTTCTGAGTTTTCTGGGAATATCGTGTCTCTTAATCGATTTTTTTTAAAACTGGAAAGTTTTTTTTAGCACGAGAAAATCGAATCTGACATTAGGTATGCGATACGATCGCATAATGGATTTAACTTCCTTTTTGAATTCTGTGATTTCTGTGGTGAAAGCTCGTATGGTATACTTTCAATTTAAATTTTCAATGAAGATTCGATAATTGCCCACCGGTAGATTGCTAAAAAATTATTTAAAAGATGAGACTTTATTACCAACGTTTGTCATTTATATATGAATGTCCGAGAATGAATGTGAGTCTTCTCCTGAGAGTTTATTGAAATGTAACACCGCCATACAAAAAATGCTGACTGTCAGCAATTTTTGTATGGCGGTGTTACATTTCAATAAACTCTCAGGAGAAGACTCACATTCATTCTCGGACAATCATATGAATCTTATATTGGGGTAGGAATAGAGAAATAACTAAAATCACAATATCTAAAGAATTACACAAAATCACACAATTCACATTGGATTCATTGGTGCCTGCCCCCTAGAATTGTGTCAGCATTTGGTTGACTCATTTGAAAAAAATTATGATTTTCCTCTCAAAAATTCATTCATTACCGTTTTACTTTTTTTGCGTTTTATTTGAATATATCAGAGAAATTAAATCAACAAATTCCAATCATTACAATCAGTTTTATGCCAGGTTTCATGTATTTATGTAAACAAATTTGGAGTTTGTGGTTAAAGTTCAAATTTGAAATGATTTATGTCATCACTAGGCATAGTGGTGGTATAGTGTTCGATGGCTGATTAAGGTGGGTTTTTTGTCATTTCTCGGAAATTGTTGAGCAAATAGTTTTTTTTGCGTTTATTAGACGTCAAAAACAACATACCGGTGTAATTTCAGATTTTTGTGTTACCAGTAGGTAGCGCAAGAGCTATCTCGATTCCATGATAGGTCCCTTGGAAATGTACATTTTGTGCCAATAAAAACACATCATTTCGCAATTTTATCGATCCTAAATGAAGAGTAATCATCATTTATTAATAGATATTGGTGAAGGAAGAAATGACTAGTCTCGTCTCTGACACTTTTTAAAGTTGCAACTACACAGTGATACTTTTTTCTTCAACTTTAGCCGATAACACTCTTTTGTCTGGGCTAGATACAACAATTGATACAAGCTACAAAATCGAAAATCCAAATGCAACGTTCAGTGATTTGATCAGTGGTCTTGCAGGATTTACGGACCATGGTAATTCAACATCAGAGGATCTAACCGACAAAGAGCCGAAAACTGAATCAAATGGAAGTTTTATTATATCAGTTGGTACACAACAAAATGAAGTGAGTTCAATAGATGTTGCACCCGAGGAAAAAGAAAATCCATTTAAATTGCCATCAATGCCAACAAAGACTACGAATCCGTTTGATATAAAAAGTCAAGTACAAAGTTCATTTGAAGTGTCAGACGATGAATTTCAAACAGCTGGTTGTAAGTTAAATTTTTCCATTTTCTTTTTTATTTGCTGATGTGATTCATTTAATCTTTTGCTTTAATTTTTTCATTAAATAATACCATATACAATAAGTTTAATGTCTTTCCAAAATTGAATAGTATCATTTTTAAACGTCAACCAGTTTAATAGCTTGTTTATTGCTATATTTAGAATAATCAATACATTCAAATATATTATTCGATAGCACATATATAAGTTACTAAATGCTCTTACATTCTAACAACAATCTATTTAAAAAATAGGTTTTTAGTCTCCAGTAGCAAAATGATTTTGTTTCAAATTGTTTATATAAGTTAAAACAAATTTAATAATCAAAACTACTGTTACTTAAAAAAAACTCAATTATTATTATTATTGAGAATATTCACATGACTATTCATGTAAATGCACAAAAATCCAACACACAAACATCGAAATGTTGTTTTATTGGAGTAAACGCTGTATGCTGCCACTATAGTTGTCTCGCTCTTGTGGGTATAGCTGTTGGAGAATACAATACAATACATGTGAAGTTGGTATATGTTCATACGTTGACATTCGACAGTCGTTCATAGTGTATGACACATTGATGATGTGTAATTTATAGAAAATGTTACTATTAAATTTATTAACAACATAAAACTAACTGTTCAACATATTACAAAATATTCACATTTTTATAAATGATATTTCAATTTCAATAAACAGTTGTGAACAAAATAATTGTAAAATAATGCAATAACACTTGTAAGTGAAACAGATTCGTGTGCAATCATTGTGACATATGAAGTGTGGTAAATCCAAAAGTCTTTAAGTAACAACAAATGTGTCCTTATTGCTGTTGTCGTGGTTTTTGTGTATTGTCTTATGTTGCTCTAGCCTAAGTGCTACACATAGTGTGAATAGAATCAAATTTTTATTCCGATACATATTGATAATTTCACGTTTTAACTTTATTTCTTAATTACGACGAATCTTCGACAAATATTCACACGGAAAAAGTATACTTGATAAGTGCATCGAATCGGCTGCATTGCCGAGGATATTCCACAAAAATTAATCACATTTTCCAAACGCAGTGATGGTTGTATTTAATAAAACTTTCACATTTTGTTATATTTCCACTCTACCCAAAAAAATTTGTTGTGGCAAATTCATCCATTATCGGGCATATGTTGACGGTCAATATTGGGGTCGGATTTGAGTGTAGTTTCAGTCATTTTCAACGTCGCAATGGAAAGAAAAAAGAGAAAAAATAAACTCAGTTACTAAGTATAGTATGAATCAACATCAATATACTATCGGTTCAGTTCAATAAATGATACTCACCTACGGGTTATTTTATATACCGAACTGCCCGTACTTCGGTCAAGGCCACAAAACTCAAGCCCAGCATAGTAACAAAACGTTACAATAATATTATTTAAAAAGAAATCTTAATGCTACATGTAATTAAAACTGGTCGTCATCGGAAACATCGAGAACATAAACGTAGTCCTCATCGTCACTGGAATCCTCATCGTCAGCTGCTTGATTTTGTACGGCAGCATTTTGATTCTGTGGTCTCAATAGTTGCGGATGAATGTCCAATCCCAACACCGTACAAAGACCTAAAAACAAAATCGTAAACAACAAATTGTTAGCCAAAACATTCTTAAACATTTTTAATTTCAGTGATATTTTTTCACCTTTGTACATGATGTTCTTGGCTGCAACGATATCCCGGTGCCAAACAGTTTTCAATTGAAATGGAGCTCGATCATCTTTCCAAATGCCAGTGTTTAGTTGCCAGTTTTTGAAACATACTTGAAGTTTTGACACTAAACCATCTGAATCCATTGGAATATGATCTGGGTTGGCTGCATTCAATCGATTAACAAAATCAACTGCATATTTACGCAATTGTTGGTACACTCGGTTGCTTTTCATGGTGATAATCACGTTCGGTAAATTCCATTGCGATGACTCATCTTCACTTGGAATACAATGCTGACAAACTTTGTATCGATCGCTTTTGGTTCGTCGATCGAATGGCCGAAAACATTTTGCACAAGTTTGCGATGTATTGTATTCGTCGACCAATCGTACAATACAATTTCCCAACTTCTTGAAACTGTTCAATAGTCGTCGTAATCCCGGGCATCGCAATCGCTTTTTAATACCAATTGGTGAGTTTGGAGCTATTTGAGCTGCACCAATAAAAACGAGCGCCGACTTTTTTTTCGTCAGTGATGCCGCGATTTTGTCACTGGCCCGATTCTCTCCGATGTATTTATCGAGACGGAGTCGAATAAACTTTCTTGTTGTGTACACCGCCATAGCTGGTTTCATCATTTTCACATAATAAGCGATGTAACACATCCAATGTGAACGTCCTATCGGCGATGGAAAAAATGCATAGCGTTTATAGTCGAGCTCCCGTTGTTTTTGCAACAATTCAGTCCATTGATCGGATTTACGCTTGCGTTTGCCATATTTCGCTTTGAAATGGTATTTTGGACCATCAATTGTGATGTTTTCCTGAGATTTACGAACAAAAAATCATAGAAGTACACAAATGATAAATAAAGAATGAATTTATTGTTTCTTACCTCGTTGCCGGATCGAACGTGTTTGCGAACGGTGGCGTTCCATGTACGAACTCCTGGATCGATTCCAAGCACATAATCAAACTCAAAATTATTGTACTTCTCTTTGATGGTGTTGTTATCAAGTTCTGGTGTATTGCGTTCAGGCTTCACGAAACATAACGAAACTGCCACACTATCGGTTGCCACAGCAAAATCGAATTCCTTACCATTTCCAAGTTTCGAAATTTTTGGCATGTCAAATATTAAATTCCAATAGAAAGCTGGATTGCTATCGTATTCAGCTTTTTCAATGTTTATTGGCTGACCGCGTTTTCCTTTTGCCAATTTCAATGCTCCAAATTTGCGCGCAATCAAATAAAAAAGATGGATATCGATGCGGATATGTTTCATATCGAAATCGTGGACTGGAACTACTAAAAAATTCTTTATTTTTGGCGGGAGTGGAGTGGTCGGCATGACATTGTTGTTCGGATCGCGTCGATATTGGAACCAGCGTTGTTTCAACATTTCATATTTCGCGTGAAAATCGAAAATTTGTCGCTGAATGTTTATAAATATTGGAATGGTTTGGAACCAGCGATCACGAATGAGATTCTGAAAGTGTACATTGATTGGCAATCCAATGCCTGCTGCTTCGTTTAATAGAAGATCGATGTTCGCGTTTCTCTCGACTCTACTCTGGAACATTACGATCTTCGTCGCACGTTTTACATCCAATTCAGTGATGAGATTTCCTTGTCGATTCAAATTCAGTTCGTAGCGCTTTAGCGTGAAAAATTTCTTGATGCGACTGAATGCCCATACTCTGATGTTATTTTTCACGTTTGTTATGTACTGAGTGATGAGATGATTGAATGCATTCCCCATGCCCTCGCGAGCTGGCCAATTTTCTGGACGAAGAAAATCAGGACATGCTTGCTCCACAGTTCGTCGAAATGCAAGCGGTAATTTGTGGTAATTTTCTTGTAATACCGAGGTGAAACATTCACCAATTACACCATTCACGTATTTATTGAATTCATCATTCGTGTATTCATCGGATTCGCCTTTAAAAAATCGAACATTTTCATCGTCAAAGGCTTTGTTTGCTTTGAACAAAAACAGTAATGACGCCAGAGTCGTAATCATTGTGGCCGAAAGGCACCAGTATGTGACCTGATCGATGAATGGTGCACGATACTCTTCCCGCAGCACTTGATTTAGAGTCATCTTCAACGACGTACTGCGCCCATTCTTGGCTCTCTTTCTTCTCATCGTGACAGATCTATTGTACAAAAATTAAAGAAAAAAATATACCAAATATAGCGTAGATCACAAACACAATAAGATATAAACACTTCTATCACAAATTAAATGAAACAGTAATGAAGAACGCATTATAAATATCACATCTTACCTCAACAAAGTGACTCTGTATTCTAAATCGAATGATGAAATTTATTTCCAATGTGACATCAAATATTTTGCCGATCGAAATGTTGTTGGAATATTCACAGTTAATTTTATCAACACTCTGTTATTTCGAAATTAAAACAAAGACAGTCATAAAACCAACTGTGAATATATCCATTCCACAGAGAACAGCATTCCAAACACATAAAATCGTTTTTGAAATGACAATAAAACCAATTGATCGCCCAAACTACGCTTCAAACACTCTCATATAATTCTCAAGAAAGCGTATTGAAAACAAAACTAAGTTTTATTGTAAACAAAATCGTTTGGTGCAAAAGTTGTTTATACTAACTACTGGATTTGGTTTGACACATATACACCGCGCGGATAGAAAAATGTCAGGAAGATGTCAGTTGCATTTCGAAAATTCAAAATAATAATTCCACAAATTAAGAAAAATAAATGTAATGAATGACTAGCAAAAGAGTTCTTCTGCAGAGTTTTATTTATTTCTTTCCGAATAAATTGTTTATTTTTTTATTTGAGCGTAAGATTTAGATTTTCAATATAAAACTTAATGTATTGGGTTGTGTTCACATTATGTTGTCAAATGAAATATGATTGAAAGTGAAAGAAACAAGTGGATCCATTCCATTGGAATTCGTGGAAACTATGCATATAATCTCCGTTCCATTTGACACGAAAATGACCACCAGAATGGGCCAAAACGTTACATTTTTCAACGTTAGAATGTACTAAAAACATTACAAATTTGTTTGCAAATTATATATAATAAAAAAATAGCTGTAAGTGGCGTTTGGTTGCATTTGTGTGAATAGAAATCGATACTAGGAAATAAAAAATGAAAATCATACTACGGTTGATTTTAATGTATCTAATTTTCAATGAAATTTTCTAGCCTAAGTTGTACTCTATTTTACCTAATTCTCGTTGTCATCAAATTTGAATTTTGCCCATTTCGATTTCTCTTAAAATTAGTCAAATATTAGCAAAAGTTAAAGAATATAAAAAAAAATATTTTTTTTCAGTAATTCTCAATTCAAATGACTTTGATTTCCTGCTATCGCGAGGTTGTAATTCAGGGCCAAATAATCCCCGTGATTCGATACTCGAGAGATTTGATCCAATCCTAGGGCGCAAATCAATCGCACCTTCATTCGCAATCTGCAAGACAGAACCAGTTTCACTTATAGTAGCTCCATCAGTATCAACAATTTGTGAAGTTGACAGCGTTAATGAGACATTGGTTTCAGAAATACAATCGCCAGATGTAAAACCCAATGAGACTTTAAACGAAACTAGTAATAACGAACAAGTTGCGAAACTGGAATCTATTGAAAAACTTGACACAAGCAACACTGGCGGTGACGAAGACAACTCAGAAGCATCAAGCACAACTGAAACGTATGAAACTGCCTCCTTCGGCGAACAGTTAAAAGTAGTAAGAATTCTATTATTTATTAGCATGTGTTATAATTTTTAACTTTATTACTATATTTTTACGTAGGCTGATGTCACAATGAACGTTGGTTTGATACATGAACTTAAAATGGATAACATGAAATCAACGGAGCAAGACAAAGAAGAACCAAATCTTAAAATGAATGATGAACACAAAGTTAAACAAGAAATGTATGTATCCAGTTTTATGTTATTATTTGATATCGATATTGAGTATTGATACGAAATTTTTAGAATAGAAAATTATGAAACAAATTGAACATATTTTTTTCTTTCTATTTTTAGGGTGGCAGACATCGAACGTAAATTAAAGGAAGCCGAATCTAGAGAGGAAGCTTTGCTCCGACGCATAACAGAAAAAGAAAAAGCCCTAAACAAAATGAGGTTTGTGAAACTTATCGTATTATAATATCTCTGATAATAATGATGATTGTAATCATATATATGATTTTAACCATTAAATAATTCATTTTTGAGTGCGGTGGTGGAAAACTACGAAAAAACCATGGTCGAAATGATTTCAGAACGGGAACAACTTACACAGAACTACGAAAAACAATTGTTACAATTGAAAACAGAACGTGATGCAAATTTTCATCATCTCACATCATTAGAGAATACATTTTCGGATTTGCATGTGTAAGTTGAATTGATTGGGAATACAGCATTTTGTAATTTCTACTTTTATAGAATTTTATTTCAAGTCGGGATTTTATTCTAGCTCTTTCAATGAATGTGTAATTTAATTGTTGAGAGGTCTTGTTTATTTAATTACACTCGAGTTGAATAAAAATAGAATGATATTTGTTGAGAGCCTGTAATTTATGTATGATTTTCTTTTATAGTAAATACGAAAAGAGTAAGCAAATGGCCATTGAAGTAAAGGAAAGTGAAGCCAAATTGGTGGAGAAACTAGAGTTTTGTCAACAGCAAATGAACTTACAGGAGCAACGGTATGATAAGCTAAAAAATCACGCTCTCTCACAATTGGAGGGGTAAGTAATTATAGAAGGAATTAAATATATAAATAATTTGGGATTTTTCATAAAAATAAGCCAAAAGGATTAAATGTTAGCACTAGTAGGATTAAATTTAAATACTTACTAAAAGTAGCTATAGTAAGACCACGATGACATCCCATATTATTTAACAAGATTATTGGAAGTATAAATTAAAACGTAAGGATTCGTATCTAACTTCATATCTATCACACATGCAATTGTTTGGACAGTGAAAGCTGTAGTAACTTAAAGAGCGTCAAAAAATCTACTAAATTCGATCTGTCAAAGTGAA